GGTTGTGGAGAAAAAGGAACTCCCTTGCACGGCTGGTGGGAGTGCAAACTGGTTCAACCACTATGGAAAGAGCTGTGTGGGGATTTCTTGACCTTCTAAACATAGAGCTTCCATATGATCCAGCAATTCCACTCCTAGGTATTTATCCAAAGGACACCTGCATGCCTATGTTTATAGCAGCACTATTTACAATAGCTAAGATATGGAAACAACCCAAATGCCCAAAAATAGATGACTTGATCAAGAAGATGTGGTACATATATACACAATAGAATATTACTTGACAATCAAAAAAGATAAACACATGCAGTTTTCAGCAACATGGATGGAGCTGGAAGGGATCATGCTCAGCGAAATAAGTCAAAAAAAGAAAAATACCGACTGGTCTCACTCATAGCAGGAATTTAGAAAACTTAAATAAGAGACCAGGAAAAAGACTAATCAATACAAAGTAAAAATCAAAATCAGCAAGCAACTATAAACCAGAGACACACTATGGGGCGGGGAGGGGAGAGGAAGAACTAGAGTCAAAATATGGGGGGTTGCAATTTTATGTGGAATATAACCATAATGAAAATGCATACATTGTGCAAAGATGAAAAATGATGTAAGAATTATATTAAATAAAATATTACCCAAAAAAACAAGCAACAACAAATGTTGGTGAGGATGTGGTGAAAAAGGAACTCTCCTACATTGCTGGTGGGAGTGCAGACTGGTCCAACCATTATGGAAACCTGTCTGGAGGTTCCTCAGTCTACTAAAAACGGAGCTACCATATGACCCAGCAACTCCACTCCTAGGGATCTACCCAAAGGACACAAAAACATTGATTGAAAAGACAACCTGTACCTCTATGTTTATTGCAGCACTATTTACAATAGGTAAAACCTGGAAACAGTGCAAATGCCCCCAAATAGATGGCTGGATCAACAAGATGTGGTATATATATGCAATGAAATATTATTCAGCAATCAAAAAAGATAAACTCATGCTATTTGCAGCAACATAGATGGAGCTAGAAGGAATTATGCTCAGTGAAATAAGCCAGAAGGAAAAAGAAAAATACTGGAATATTTCACTTATAGCAGGATTATAGGGAAACCAAATAAGACATCAGTGTAAAAAAAATAATAACAGCACAAAGCACAACAAAGCAAAAACAGATAATTATAAATCAGACAATTATAAATTAAGCAGACAATTATAAATCATATACCACAAGGGAGGAGGAGGGAGAGGGATCTGAGGGAGGGAGGGAGGAGCACAGGGGACTGAGGTGATGGTGCACAGGTGCATTGGTGAAGGAAACTCTATGGGGACTACACCTGAGGGGGTGGGGGAAGCAAATATTGTTTGAAAATGAACAATGATGTAAAAATGTTTTTTTAATTAAAAAAATTTAAAATAAAACTAACTTGATTTCATTGTGTTCAATTCTGAAAATCTGTGCTTTCTTTAAGAGTACTGAATAAAGGAACCAAATTGTAATTACCTTAGCAAAAGTTTCCTCTTTTTAATTCTCTCTTTACTATTGACATTAAGTACTTTAGAATTATTTCTGGACTCTGTTGTGAAATATCTATAATCAATACATACTGCTATCGGAAATATTTACGAGGACATTACCTAGACTCTGAAAATATGGTTGAAAGTCAGAAATGCCAATGAACTGGTCAAGGAACAATGGATTTTCTTTACTTTTTTTTTTTTTAAAGACTATTTATTTTTATTTATTTATTTATTTAAAAATTATTTATTTACACAAGCACTGGGTACAGTCAGAAGTGCGGGAGGGTGAGAGAATTCACCAGAGCCAGAGCAGGGAGCAGAACAGGCAGAAGGACCGAAGTACACTGCTGAGGGGAGCAGAGGGCGGCAGGAGAGGTCTGCAGGCCTGTGGGAGCCTCCTCCGGAGGCCAGGGAGCAGCTGGGGATGGATTTTCAAAGCTAAGTTCAAGTCTCTGTGGGGGACATAAAAACTGGGAAATAATCAAAAGGCAGCCAATTATGTTTCCACACTGTGATATGCAGAAATAGCCTACACCTGCAGGATTCAAGAAGTCAGCATATTAAAGAAGAGGTACAAATGATGAGGTACCTCTGGATTTGTACTGTTTAGCCCCTTGCTTCTCATAATTACCGTATACTTAATAGGCTAGCCAGGTTGGACAAGCTGATGGGGTCTTGCAGAAATTCTAATAAAAAGAAATCCCCCAAATCAACTTACCCTATGGTCCTCTTCAAGAAGATATACATTTGTCTACATTTATAGAAAAATTTAAGTAAATAATCATTTTAAAGGTATGGATGCTTACATGCTAAGGACATATTAATATGACTACATAGGTTACAAAAGAAAACATAAGAAATGCAAAAAGCAGACACTGAATATTTGTGTTTTTGGAAGGAGAAGTAGCACAATAAGTAAAACATTTACAACTGTATAATAGTACATTTCCTCTCCCTTCATGCCATGGTTAGATATGTTCCATTTTTACATTCTTTGTCTTCCTCAAGGTCACTGTTATAATCACCATTCACTGAAAACAAGCTGAGTGTGAGAAACACAAAGAAACAGGATACAATTATTATGAATCTTTAAAGATCTTATAATCTAAAAAGGGAGAGAGAGAAAACCCCAATGAAAATGGAATCACCAAGTAGATGCTAATATAGAAACATAACCAAGGCCAACAAGATGGATGGAAAAAGAAATGTTGTAGGAAGTCATTACCAGCCCCTTCTCCTGAATGCACGATATGTGTGTGTATGTGTATTTATATATAATATATATATATTTTTTTACATCATTGTTCATTTTTTTTTGCAATGTTTGCTTTCTCCTCTCAGGTGTAGTCCCCATAGAATTCCCACCACAAAATCACCAGTGCACCATCACCCTAATCCCCTGTGCTCTTCCCGCCCTTGTTTTGATCCCTCCCCCTCCCCTGCAGAATGTCTCTTGGCCATTTTAAAGCCAGGTAACATTTAAGCTTGAAGACATATCCTTAATTGTGATTCAGAAGATATAATAATTTATTCATAGTTATCACCTGGTGGTGATTTAGCCCTTTAGGAAAGTGTTAGTATCTTAATACTATAGACCAGTAAAAGGGTTCATGTAACTTTGATACCCTTAGTAGTTGTTGAGTATTGGAAAGAATTTGCTTCATTAAACCAGACTCTAGCTTCTCTGTCACTACTAATTTCTCCCGAAAAGCAACAAACTACTGTTTCCAATTAGTTGAGGGAGGGCTGAGTCTCTGGCAGAGGTAAAGGTATTCATAGGTTGGACACTGGTGCATTTGGGGTAGGAGTGCTAGATTTAGCTGGGAAAAATAGTCTTCTAGCCAAAAAAAATGTTTTTTGGTAAATAAATGCTTTATCTCACTGATCCTTTTAAAATCACAGTGAGGGCCTCCCCTGTGGTGCAGCGGTTGAGCGCTGGGTTGCGAAGCTGCACACAGTCTCTGCAGCGCAGGTTCAATCCCCACTGCTCCCCAGCCAGCCACCGGGGGAGGGTCCCACATGGCGCAGACCTCTCCTGCCACCCACTGCTCCCCTCAGCAGTGTGCTTCGGTCCTTCTGCCTGCTCTGCTCCCCGCTCTGGCTCTGGTGAATTCTCTTGCCCTCCTGCGCTTCTGACTGTACCCAGTGCTTGTATGAATGAATGAATGAATGAATGAATGAATCAATCAATCAATCTTTAAAAAAATAAATAAAATCACAGTGAGTTAATTAAGATGAAATGTGCAGTTAGAGTGTCAATGTACCCTCAATTAATCCTTCTGATGGCCCAGCACACCCTCTGGTTTAGCATTATCCTGGAATTCTAAAAACAGACTTTATTCTTTTAGAGAAGTTTTACATTTATAGAAAAATTGTGTGGAAACTCCAGAGATTTCTCATATAGTCCCTGTTCCCTCTCATATCCCCTCTCCCATATGTACACAGCCTCCCGGACTACCAAAATTCCCTCACCATAGTTGTCCATTTGTTGCAGTGGATAAACCTACACTACACACCATACCTAACCAAGTTCACATTAGGGCTTACTTTTGAAAGTACCAGTTGGAACCCTGAGTGGACAAGCAAGAAGCAGCTCATCACATATTTGTGTTTCTTTAAAACTGTTGGCCCTCCATAGACAGAGAAGACACCCCAATAAACTAATGCATGAAAATCAGTGTCTGTTGGTTTAGACGATTTTCACAGTATTGTATTTTGGGACTGGAAAAAAGGGAGAAAAAACAGCCACAACATCTTATCTCTTAGCCAGTTAGAGTGTAGCTGTTCAAATTATAGTTGCCACTGACAATATTATGAATACTAAATGAAAAAGGTATGCTCAGAATGATCCTGATATTTTTATTTTTATTTTTTCATGGAGAAACTGATTTTACATTTATTAAATTATGTCTTCGTTTTGCTTTTGTTTTTTAAAAGTAAATTTATGTAGAGAAAAAATATGATAGTCTGTGTAAACGTCAAATGTAGTCACAGAAATTTAGAATATTTAAAAATTTTCTATGTCCACATTTTCTGGCTATCCTCAAACATACCACATTTGAAATAGGGAATTAAGAATTTTTAATAACAAAATCATCCTTGAAAAGACTTTGAAGTTAAATTCAGTTTTCGTAGTACACTTATCTTAGTAGGTTAAACCAAACCCAGTTCTTCAGAACTGAAAATAGACTAAGGGTCACAAAGCCAAATAACTCTTCCAGTAAATGTCATGAGATCTGTCTGCCACAAAACAGACAAGGCTTTGTTTCGGCTTGAAATGCTGGGTCAGTGATTTAATTCAACATTAAGAAGCTCCGCTCTTACTGACTATGCATTTCACTCAGGTCCCTTTACTTGATGACACTTCTGTTTTTAAGCCTAAATAATAACATTAAGGTCAATTTCTTGTTCATCTCCACAGTGTATGAAATGTTTTATTTTTCCTTTGAAGAAATTAGTCATTTGACATTTGTATTGTTTTCACACAGCTGATGGAAAATGTCTGGTGTCTGTTGGTTTAGACGATTTTCACAGTATCGTATTTTGGGACTGGAAAAAGGGAGAAAAAATAGCCACAACAAGGTAAGAAGCTGCTGAAATCTTACAGCGCCCAGCTGGTTGTCATGCTTCCAGGTCAATAGTTTTCATTTTGGGGTAAGATTTTATCTTCAAATTCAGATGAAATTCACATAGAAAGCTTCACACCTAAGTGCAAGCATACTGCAGCAGTTCATAGTGACAGACCTGGCCTAAGCAGTTAGTGTCTGTCTGTTTCAGGGAATTGGAAAATTCTGAAATCCTTTCCAAAGAGCTATCACTTTGCTTTCGGTACTACATGCATTATCTGTCTCAGAGCTTTTGACCAATAGTAGAAAAGCAGCTTTTTTCAGACTTGGGCCATACCCCTTGTTTTTCCACTGTCGTAGCATCTGGTGCAGGATTCCCAATGTGACTAGAGTCAGAAGTACCATTTATCATGAGACTGGCATGCTGGAAAGGAGGCCCCATCGTGTGCATCTGCCACTCACTTTCAAAGCAGGAAAATTGTTTCCCTAATCACCTCATCTTATAAATAGACCTTTCAAGACTGCTGTTTATAGGCCACCTGTCCAGCCTTACCCTAGCCTCCCTCCCTGCTGAATCAGCCCTGAAGCTGAACATTACTTTCCACTCCTACTTACGTTGAACTTAGCTGTTTGCCCAGGCATGGTCAGAATCAGCCACAGTCAGAAGTCAAATAGTTGGCAGAGAAGTCCCAGCAATACAATTTTGTTGCCCAAGGTTTGTTACCAGTTTACCTCTTTACTAGTTCTTTCTTGTTTGCTTTCTGTGTTGTAATATAAAATCATTTTTAAGAGAATGACTTTACTCCAGTGTTCACTTTTCAAATTAACATTTCCCTCTACAATATTAAATAGGAAAAAAGTTCTTTGGCAGTTTGATTTAATGAATGAAGATAAAGACTCAATGGAGGAGCAGATGGAGTCTTGAGGACTAGCTGACAGAAAAGTGAACCTTTTCTGATCACTGTTACTGAGATGGAATTCCTGGCAGCAAATGGCAGCTCATAAATCTGACTCCCCTTGTCTTTCTAGTATCCCTCACTGTTGTCTCACTACCCTCTAGTACTCAGATTCAGTTCCTCATCAGAACTCTGCTTTCCTCCTGTACTAGAATACTGGGTATTAGCTTAATATTTCTGATAATATACCACCTGCATTACAGATAATTTCAGATAAAACACATATCTGCATCTCCAAAGTAACAAATTTTAACTTTTCAAAAATTATACTTTTACTACTCTGAATGCTGATGTAATCAAGCTACCCAGGTGACTCACTTTCTGGAGCCACCAAACTGTTCCCTAAGCAATGTGACTCTTGGACATTTAAACCCTGACTTGACTTTTCAAGCAGCATTAAAACTACCTTTAGTGACATAAGTAAACAGCCCCAAAAAAGCAATAGAAATGCAATTTTCCTGCTAGAAAACCCTCTGCAACTATGGACTGCTTTACCCATGGCATGCCAGAAACATTAACAGAAATGGAAAGAATACTTATTAACATTATAAGAGTATATATTTGATACACTTGGTATATAGCTAATTTCACTACAATTAATTGATATAAAGTGACTTCACACCATTTCATGAATATTTTATTATAAAATTAATTTTTGTGACATTTAACTTATGTGACATTTCTAAAACAGGACACCTGCAGAATTGCCCTCAGATAATTTTTGCAGTTGAACCTTTAATTCTATTTCTAAGATGGAATATCAAGGATTGTTAAAATTCTTTGCAATACTAGAGTTAAATACATACATATAAAGATATATAAAATATACACAAATAACTATTTATGTAATATTAAAAATAATAAATATTTGCACAAGTAAGTAGCCAGACAAAAATTCTTTCCATGACCTTAAGTTAGTGTGTTTTAGTAAATGGAAACTTGGCAGGGGAGGTTTGGTAGAGGGTGAGTGAAACGTGCACATATGGAAGTGTGAAAATGCACCCCCAATGTTAGACATGCAAATGACTGACAAAAATTAAAACAAAAACAGAGCCTTAAGAGAAATGACAAAGAACATGAAGTATTACTTTACTATGACATCTTCGTGCTTCCAGGCATCACCCTAGCTCCTGAGATTTAATCCTCTCAGAGCACAGCTGACTCAAACTCTAATTTTGCATGTTCTCAGCCATGGCCCTCACAAAGCTTAGTACCAAGCCTGTGCTTGGCAGCCGTATTCTTCTGTGACAGTGTCCCCTACTCTGTGGCTGTGAGGGCATCACCTAATCACCCATTGCTGCTGGTGCCCAGGGCTGGCTAATGCCTGCCTGCTACATAGCTCCCCACTCACACAAGTCTGTTGTGAAAACGTTTAGGTGAAACTATTTCTAAATAGCTCAGCCATTAAAGGATGTTTGAGTTTGCACATAGAAATCTCATTACAAGATAATTTTGAGACTTGAACCAGTTCTTTGTGTCTTTGCTAGTTTTTGTGAATGATTTCAGTCTCCTTCATGAGAAATGAATATGTTTTATCTTCTTAAAGATTGTTTAAATTATTTTAGTTTAACATACAAGTAACCTGTTCAAAAACCAAGGCCAGTCTCAAGGCATATAGTTAAATAGTCTCATATCAGTGTCAATCAAGACAAAATAATGGATTTCCATTGCACTGGTAACATGACTGTGGAGAATGACTATTTTTTGACATTCCTCATCTCAGAAGTTTGAGCAGTAGGCACTTAGGCAAAGGTGACAAAAATTGTCAATGAGCCAAGCAAGACTACTTCCAATGTTAATGTGGAATCACCATTCTTCTAGGAGACATAAGGACAAGGGAGAGGGGTATGTAGGACCACAGAGCATGCGATTCTGTACCAGCTTCTTTGATTGATCTATTGTATGCCTTCCCTTACATATATTTAGTAAGTAGGATAAAGGCTCCTGTGTACTAACTTGGCTTTTCTTCTCACTTTTTAAAATGTGTATCTCTTTTTAAAAATAACATTTATTAATCTGATCCCTTTGTTTTCAAAATGACATACTATTGTTACAGAAAAGTTAGAAATCACAGAAAAGCAACAAGAAGAAAGTGAAAATCATTTGTGATTCCACCACCGAGAAATAGCTGGGAATAACATTTTAGCATATGTCCTAGTATTTTTATCTGTTTTTATTCACATATGGGATATTGTGCATAATACTGCTCTGTAACTGTTTTTCCCCCCACTCACCAATATATCATTTTACTGTCTTCTAATTTATGTTACCTGGCTTATTCCATATTATAAGTCATTTTAAATCTTTTTGCGTGTTGGGATATAAATCTTCCATTCAGCATTCCTACTATAGGCTACATTCACACACAAAAATGGGAAAACCAAATCACACATAGGACTTGCTCTCCAGGCAATTGAAATGTGTGGGATAGGAGATTGGACACCAGATCATCCTGTGTTATAGCTGTCCTTGGCTTGTAGAAGAGGTGCATTCCTTTCCTCAGGCTTACTGATGGGGGTTTTAGTGTTACCATGTGGTGAGTTGATTATCACCCAAGCATGAGAAGTTGTCCTATATTAGAGCAATAGCACAGAATTTTCTACATTTTTATTCTCTCAGTTTAGAACATGAAGCTCTTTCCATTTTGTTTTTCTTATACGTGTGTGTGGATACATATGCACAGTTGTAGGCAACTTTCCTATAACAAGTATCTGGAGGGAAAATAGCAGAGGTATCCAACGAGTGTCCTTTACTCAGATGTTGACATTAACTGTGCATTTGCATGCCATCACTAGCCCGTTTAGAATTTTAGCCACAACAGAAACAACATTGATGTGTTGTAATACCAAGATGAAAACTAAAAAGTTCACTCAGAAAACATTTTTCTATCTAAGTGCTTAACATTGTATAGAAACAAGCAAATAAAATAATATCCTTTACTCTAAGAAGTGAAATTTGTTATGTCTTTTCAATTTGGATTTCCATTTTCTTTAACATCGTCTCTTTAAAATTTATTAGTGACTTAGAATTTGTGGGGATTTTTCTTCAGTCAAGATCTTTGGATGTCTAATGTCTTTTGTGGTTATCTGGTTCATTTTTCCTCTTCATGACAAGCACATTTTCTCTTTAATCTAAATCTTCTTTTTTTTCCCTCTTAATTGCTTTTCATACAGCCAGTGATGCATCCAGTGTTTATGCTTTACTTTTGACTTTCAGAAACACTAAGTTCAAAACTCAATCCCTTCTCATTTTCCTGCCTCCCCCTTGTTACAAGTGGGTAGCCAGAACAGCTATCGAGATGCCCTGTTCTGTGTGCTGCTTTCAACTTTTTTCATGGGAATTCTCAAAGTTACCTATTTGTGGAGGCAATGGCAGGACGAACCCCTGTGTAGCTATACCCATTTGCAACATCCTACAAAAAATGGTAAAAATCTCTTCCCAGTTTTTTTTCTTTTATTCTCTTTTTCCTGCTAGGACATTTTAAAGAAAATTCAAGATGTCATATCATTTGTATTGTATGTATTTCTAACTGAAAAGGCATATTTTTAAAAATCATCATGTCATTATCCCAGCTAACTAAAGTATGGTAAATCCCTCCATATATTACCCAGTTCATAACCAAATATTTCTGATTGTTTCAAATAAGAGATTTTATTTAGCCTGCATCCAGCTTTCTTTTTGTGATTGATTTCTAGTTTGATATCATTATGATCAAAGAAGATACTTGATTTCAATCTTCATAAATTTATTGGCATTTGTTTTGTGATCCAGCATGTGGTCTATCCTTGAGAATATTTCACGCGCCCATGAGAAAACGTATAGCCAGCCTTTTAGGGGCACAGTGCTCTAAAATGTCTCTTAAACCCATCAGTTCCAATTTTTTGTTTAAGGCTGTTGTTTCCTTATTGATATTCTGTCTGGGTGATCTGACCATTGATATAACACAACACTATTGTGTTGCTATTGGCGTCTCCTTTTAGATTTATTAATAATTGCTTTATATGTTTTGATGTACCTTAATTTGGTGTGTATGTATATATATGATTGTCTTGTACTTCTGATGTGTTGATACCTAATCATTATATAAACCGCGATGAGAGGGCCTCTCTGGTGGCGCAGGCAGTTGAGCGCAGTGCTGTAAAGCTGTCCATAGTCTCTGCAGTGCCGGTTCGATCCCCGCCGGCAACAGAGCAACCCACATGGCACAGCAGACCTCTCCTGTCTCACCCGCTGCTCCCCTCAGCAGTGCATTTCAGTCATTCTGCCTGTTCTGTTCCCCACTCTGTCTCTGGTGAATCCTCTCACCCTCCCGCACTTCTGGCCTGTACCTGGTTCTTGTATAAATAAAATAAATCTTAAAAAAAAATAAAAACAATAAACCGCAATGAGATACCACCTCACAACCATGATAGTGGCCCATATCAAAAATATAAAAAATCAGTGTTGGTGAGGGTGTGGGAAAAAAGGGAACCCTCTTATACTGTTGGTGGGAATGTAGACTGGTCCAGCCTCTATGGAAAACAGTATGGAGGTTTCGCAAAATATCAAAAATAGATCCACCTTATGAACCAGCAATTTCACTTGTAGGTATCTGGAGATTGCAAAAACTCTAACTTGAAGGAATATATACCTAAGTTCATTGCAGGGCTGTTTACAGTAACCAAGTTATGAGAACAACAACTGATGTGCTCAACAACTAAATGCTCAACAACTGATGAGTGGATAGAAAAAAATGTGGTATGTACACAATGGAATGCTCCTTAAATACTAGGGGAAAAAATGAAATGTTGCCATTTGTGACCTCATGGATGAAACTGGAAGGGAGATTATGCCAAGTTTTGTAAGGAGACACACAAATACTGGATGATTTCACTCATATGTGGAAAATATAAAACAAAACAAAGGAACAGACAAATAAACCAAAACAAACCCTAGAAATCGGACTGCAGAACAGGTTACCAGAAGAAAAGGAATTGGAAAGAAAGGGGGAGGGGACCAGTGGAGTATGGTGGAAGATTATTGGTGCTTAGGTGGTGGGTGTGGTGTGGTGACACATCTGGAGAGGTGTGAACCTGTACCTCTGAGTCATACATGTGCTGTGAACCAATGTCACACATAGATGATATGTTCTTTTATGTTAACATTATTTTAACGTGTTAAAATTTTGGTTTTTTAAAAAAAAGCAACATGAAAACAAAACAAACAAGTAATCTGCATCAAGCAAGTTCCACTCATTGTCTTTGGTTGTGATATTTCTTAAGCTTCTTTTATAGCAGTCTCCCTCCAACATTTTCCATACCATAAATGCATTTGGACAACCATGTTATTCGATCTAGAGAATGTTTCACATTTAGAACTGTACTGATTCTTCACAGATGCATTCCAGGCTTTCCCCTGCATTTCCTGTAAAAGGTAGTTAGATCCATAGATTCATATTCATGTTTTTTCCTTAGTTTTATGATGGATCATATCTTACAGTTCACCCATTTAAAATGTAATTTAAAATGTTTTAGCATATTTACAGAAGTCTGTGATTATTACCACTCTCCCTTTAGAACACTTTCATTACCCCCCAAAAGAAGACCCATACCTGTTAGCATTAACCAACTTTTTATCTCTGTGGGTTTGCCTCTTCTGAACATTACATTCCTGTAAGTGGAATCAAAAAATATGAGATCCTTTTGACTGGCTTCTTTCACCTAGCATAGTGGTTTAAGGTCAAACGGTATCATAGCATTGTGCAATCTTCATTCTGCTTTGTTGCTGAATAATATTTCACTGTATGAAATAATTTTTTCATTTACCAGATTTTATTTACCCATTCATCTGTTGATGGATATTTGGATTGTTTCTTCCTCTAACCATTATGGGCAATGCTGCTCTGAACATTTATGTATATGATTGTGAGTAGACATATGTGAGTCTAATTTCTCTTGAGTGTATACCTAAGAGTGGAATTGCTGGGTTATGTGGTAACTATATGTTTAACATTTTGTGGCACCCCAAAATGTTTTTCAATGTGGCATTTCCACTAGCAATGAATGAGGATTCTGGTTTCTCCATATCCTAGCCAACACTTACTATTTTCTGTTATTTTCATTATGCTGGTACTAGCCATACTGGTACATTTCAAGTAGCATCTCAATATGGTTTTGATTTTCATTCCCCTGTTGGCTAATGGTATTGAGCCTCTTTCATATGTTGCTGGCCATTTGTATATCATCTTTGTAGAAATGTCTATACATACACTTTGTCTATTTTTAGTAGATTTGTCTTTTCATTATTAAGTTTAAGAGTTTTAAAATATATTCTGAATACAAGCAGCAGATATGGTTTTATTTTTGCATTTAAATCTCTAAACCATTTGGAGGTTATCATAGTGTCTACAGTAATCACCCTTTAACCATGAGGGATACATTTTCTGATCCCTAGTAGATGCCTGAAACTGAAGATAGGGGCACATCTAAACTCTTTTCCCTAACATATAACATATACCTAAGATAAAATTTAATTTATTAATTATTATATATTAAACATAGTAAGAAATTAACCATAACATAATAAAGCAGAACAATTTTTGCAGCATACTATAATAAAAGTTTTATGTATATAGACTCACTCAAAAAATATTGTATATAATATTTTCAGACCATGAATGACTGTGGGTAACAAAAAACCTTGAAATAAAAGTCTCAGATAAGGGGAAAATAGAACAAATCCAGTTGTTAGTCTTTTTCAATAAGATTATCAAGATGAACCAGGCATTTTTTCCCCTTCTTTTTTCTTATAATTTATTTATATGTATTTTACATCAAAAAGGTGAGATATAGAAACAACCCAAATGCCCAAAAATAGGTGACTGGATCGAGATGTGGCATATATACACAATGGAATACTATTCAGCACTCAAAAAAAGATAAACTCATTCCATTTGCAGCAACATGTATTCTTCCTCTTCTAATGGATTTTTATTTTCCAGAACAGTTTTAGGTTTACAGCAAAATTGAGCAGAAGTATAGTGTTCCTATAAATGTACTCCCACACATGCAAAACCTCCCTGAAAACTCCACCCTGCACTGGAGTGTGCATTTGTTATAATAGATGAAATTATGTTGACACACTTTTATCACCTGAAGTCCATAGTTTGCATTAGGATGCACTCTTGGTGTTGTGCAGTCTATGAGTTTTGATAATATATAATAACATATCCTTCATTGTGGTATTATACATAGTAGTTCCACTGCCTGAAAATCCTCAGTGCTGTGCCTATTCATTCCTCCCTCACTTCCATCCTGTCAGCCACTAATCTTGTCACTGTCTCCATAGTTTTGTCTGCCCAGAATGTCATGTAATTGCAATCATACAGTGTGTAGACTTTTCAGGCTAGTTTCTTTCATTTACAAATATCTATTTAAGATTCCTTCATGTCTTTTCATAACTTGGTAGCTCATTTCTTTCATTTTTGTGTGTGTATAGAAGAACTGGGGTGTATGCCAGGGGTGCAGGGGTAAGAGTAATCACCAGAAACAGAGTGGGGAGCAGAATACATGGATGCACTGAAACACACTGCTGAGGGGAGCAGCAGGCAAGACAGAAGAGGTCTGCTGTAACATATGTGTTAGCTCCCTGGCCAGGATGCAACTCGCGCCTTAGAGGTGATAGCGCTGAGACTTAACCCCTACGCTACAGGGTGGCCCCACTCATTTCTTTTTAAAGCTGAATAATATTCTGTTGTCTGGATATACCATGTTTTTGTTCATTTGTTTAATACCATTACTGAGTGAAGGACATCTGGGTGGCTTCCAAGTTTTGCCAATTATGATTAAAGCTGCTATACATTTCTTGTGCAGATTTGTGGACTTAAGTTTTCAACTGCTGTGGGTAAATGCAGTTGTTGCACCTATGATAAGAGTATGTTTAGTTTTCTAAGAAACCATCAAACTCTCTTACAAAGTTTTTAGTTTGATGTAGTCCCATTTGTTTATATTTACTTTTATTGCTATTGGAGATGGGTCCAAAAAGATATTTCTGAAATCATTGTTGTGGAGTGTTTGCCTATGTTTTCTTCAATGTATTTTTATGGTTTCATAAAGACATCTATGTCTTCACTGTACTTTGAGTTAATTTTTGTGTGAAGTGTGATCTAATTTTATTCTTTTGGATATGGCTGTCCAGTTTTCTCAACACCATTTGTTAAAGAAACTCTCCTTTTTCTTGGCTCCTTTGTCATAAATTAACCATCCACAGAGATATGGGTTTATTTCTGGGCTGTCAGTTCTATTCCTTGGGTCTGTGTGTCTGCTTTTGCTCCTGTTGCATGTTGTTTTGAGTACTATAGCTGTGTAGTATAGGTTGAAATCTGGGAGTCTGATACCACCACTCTTCCTCTTTTCTGTCAGGATTGTTTTGACTATTCAGAGTCTTTTATGGTTCCATATGAATTGCAGCAATATCTGTTCTATTTCTGTAAAGAACACCATTGGAGCCTTGATAGGAATTGTGTTGAATCTGTACATTTGCTTAGATAAGAGGACCTTTTAAATAATGTTAATTCTTCCAGTCAATTGGTAGGGAATATCTTTTCCATTTTTTGTGTCTTAGAATTTTCATTGTATAGGTCCAACACTTTCTTTGTTAAATTTGCTTCTAGATATTTTTCTTTTTGCAATTGTGAATGGGATTGTTTTCTTGATTTTTCTCCTAGTTCATTGTTTACATATAGAAACACAACTGATTTTTGTAAGTTGATTTTGTACCCTGTCACTTCTACTGAACTGGTGTTTTTTCCAATTAGTTTTTTTTAATATAGTCTAGGGTTTTGTTTGTTTGTTTAAGGATTTTATTTTTGCATAGAACTGGGTGCAGGCCAGAGGTATGGGGTGGTGGGAGGGGGTTGGTGAGAGGATTCACTAGAGACAGAGTGGGGAGCAGAACAGGCAGATCTACTGAAGAACACTGCTAAGGGGAGCAGCGGACAAGATAGGATCTGCTGTGCCATATGTGGGTTAGCTCCCTAACTGGGGATCAAACTCAGGCTGTTGGAGTGGGCCTTCATGTGGTAAAGCTAAGGGTTAGCACCTAGGACATCAGGGAGACCCTTGTATGTATATTAAAGAAAAAATGTTTTTAAAAAAGTTATGCACATAAAAAATAAAATTTAGGGAAACTACCCTCACACTTTGGTATTTTTCAGAATTTTACTGGCCAGTCCTGCTGGTTTATTCTTCCAAGGTGTGTCTAGCTCCAGGTTAAAAAACAGACAAACAAAACAAAACAACAAAAAGGCAAACAATGCTCTTTTTATTGGGATCAAATTGAATTTATAAACAAACTTTGGGAGAACTGACATATTTATGATTGATTTTTCCAACACAAGAACATGGGATATGTTTCTACTTTAAAGTCCACCTTTCTATCTTACAGATATTGGGAGGTTTTGCTAATTTTACTCACTTAATATATTGTCCATTTCTATATTAAGTTTGTGCCTTGATGTTTTTGTTGTTTCTAATCGAGTCCTGTCTTCCATTATATTTTCAACTGGTTCTAGCATATATTAAGGTTATTGACTTTGTATTTCATTATATGTAGTGCAACTATATTGGAATGTAGTTACTTGTAGTTTTATTTTTTTTTAATTTTCTACATATATAATTATATGTTGTAGTGTAAGTGATTTTCAGGCTTTTCTGCCTGCTGCTGTTAGGATTGCCCTGCCTGATTGGGCACCTGCATTTTGTTACATTGTTATAAGTTGTGCTGTTTACTTCTATGGGCCATGGCTGCAGTATTGATATAGTCCCCAAGAGAAGGAGAGGAAGGAGAGAGAAGGGGAGAAAGAACACCACAGAGTACAGAGAGAAGACTTGCCCCGGGCATGGAGGCCTACTGGCCTCCTGCTCCCCCAACCCCACCTGCCACATACCTGGTTGCTGCACTACATGTAAATTCAATAAAAGCCTGAGAAAGCTACCAAGGGCTCCAGGACTCTCCTTTACCCGTCTGGTCTGCTGGGATCCTGAAAAACCAGCACTGTGCTCATCCTGCCCCTACATATATCATCCTACAAATACACATTTAACTTCTACTCCAGCATTTGTGTCTTTAAATTTTAAAATCTTGTCTAATTATAGTAATTAATATGATCAATACAATATTAAGTGGGAGGAGTAATAAACTTTTCCTAATATTATTGGGAATCCCATTAAGTAAGAATTTGAGTGTCGGGAGAGGGGAAGAGGTAATGTGGTGATGGATCACGGGTGCTGTGGAGATTGCACTTGAGGGGAGAAATCAAATACTGTCCAAGATTGATGTAAGTAATTAAATATTAAAACTTTTTAAAAAGTAAGAATTTGACTCAAGTTCACACACATACACACACACACACCCCTCACAAATAAGTTACTTTCTTGTTTTCAAAGAAAATATAATGGCACACATGTCTGAAAACCAGCCTGCATATGGTTGTACTGAATGAAGCTGGTTTCTCAAAGATAGTCCAGTGGCGCAGAAAATATAAATATCTAAGTGATAAGTCTGAAGCATCCATTAATTTCTCCTTTATGGAGTGTTGAGTGCTATTTTTTCTTTCCCATTTATTTTTTAAATTTATTTTATGTATTTTATATATATATATATATATATTACATTATTCTTCCTTATTGTACAATGCATGCTTCTCCTCTCAGGTGTAGTCCCTATAAAATTCCCACCACCAATTCGCCCATGCACCATCACCATAGTCCCTTGTGCTCTTCCCTCCCCTGTTCTGATCCCTCAACCTCCCCCTCCCCTGCAGAGTGTCTCTGATCAATAGTTGCCTGTTAATTTTGTCTTTTAATTTATTGTAATTACTTTTTCCAGATCCCTTATTTGGTTCCCTACATTCCTCCTATAAGTGAAACCACCCACTATTTTTCTTTTTCTTTCTGCTTATTTCACTGAGCATATTCCCTTCCACCTCCATCCATGTTGCTGTGAATGGCATGAGTTTATCTTCTTTGATTGTTGAATAGTACTCCGTTGTGTACACATACCAAATCTTCTTGATCCATTCATCTGTTTTGGGGCATTTGGGTTGTTTCCATAGCTTACCTATTGTAAATAGTGTTACAATAAACATATGGGTGCAGGTATCCTTTTGACTTTATGTTTTTATGTCCTTTGGGTAGATTCCTAGAAGTGGAATTGCTAGATCATATGGAAGCTCTATTTTGAATAGTTTGAGGAACCTCCACACAGCTTTCCATAGTGGTTGGACCAGTTTGTATTCCCACCAGCAGTGTAGGAGAGTTCCTTTTTCTCCACATCCTGGCCAACATTTGTTGGCCAACATTTGTGCTATTCTCACTGGTGTAAAGTGGTATCTCATTGTGCTTTTGATTTGCATTTCCCTGATTATAAGTGATGCTAAACATTTTTAATATACCACTTGGCCATTTGCATTTCCTCTTTGGGGACATGTCTTTTTAGCTCTTCTGCCCTTTTTTTAAACAGGATTGTTTACTTTGTTATTATTGAGTCACTTCAGCTCTTTGTAAATCTTTGTGATCAGTCCCTTAGCAGTAGTATTGTGTGCAAAAATTTTTTCCCAATCAGTAGTGTGCATCTTTGTTTTGGTTAGTATCTCTTTTGCTGTACAGAAGCTTTTTTTTTTTTAAAGATTTATTTAATTTTATACAAGAACTGGGGTACAGATCAGATGCACGGGAGGGTGAGGAGATTCACCAGAGACAGAGTAGGGAACAGAACAGGCAGACTGATGAAATACACTGCTGAGGGGAGCAGCGGGCGAGACAGGAGAGGTCTGCTTTGCCATGTGGGAATCTTGCCAGCGGCCGGGATCGAACCCGCGCTGCAGAGGCTGCGGACAGCTTCACAGTGTGGCACTCAACTGCCTGTGCCACCAGGGAGGCCCGTACAGAAGCTTTTTGATTTGATATAATCCCAGCTGTTCATCTTTTCCTTTACTTTCTTTGCTTTGAAGGATGTGTCTTTAAAGATGTTACTGAGATGTATGTCATGTAGTGTTTTACCATTTTTTCTTCTATGTATTTTACAGCTGCAGGTATTATGTACAAGTCTTTTATCCATTTTGAGTTAATTTTGTAGTATATTTTGAAGTTTGGAGGTATTATACCTCCATTCTCCTTTATTTTTGTCAGTAGGGCTTTGGCTATCCGTGGTTTTTTGTGGTCCAAATGAATTTCATCAGTATTTGTTCTATTTCTTTGAAGAATGTCATTGAGATTTTTATTGGAATAGCATTGAATCTGTAAATTGGTTTAGGTAGGATGGCCATTTTAATAATGTTAATTCTTCCAATACATGAGCAGGGAATGTCTTTCCATCTCCTTTTTTTTTTTTTTAAATAATTTTTTAATATCAGTTGCAGTTATTTTTTCTTTTAGATTTTATTTTATTTATACAAGAACTGGGGTACAGGTCAGAGGTGTGGTGAGAGAATTCTCTCTGGTGAGAGAATTCACCAGAGACAGAACAGGGAGCAGAACAGGCAGACAGACCAAAATACACTGCTGAGGGGAGCAGTGGCGGGACAGGAGAGGTCTGCCAGGCCATATGGGATTCTCCATGGCCCGCCGCGATCAAACCCACTCTGCAGAGGCTGCAGACAGCCTCACAGCATGGCGCTCAACCCACTGGCCACCAGGGAGGCCCTGTCTTTCCATCTCTTTGTGTCTGTTTCTTTTAACAGTGTTTTATAATTTTCCTTGCATAGGTCCTTCACCTCTTTTGTTAGGTTTATTCCCAATATTTGATTTTTTTTTGTTTCAGTTATGAAAGGGATGATTTTCTTGAATTCTTCTTCATCTTGATTGTTTGCATATAGGAAGGCTACTGATTTTTGTGTGTTGATTTTGTATCCTGCTACTTTACTAAACTGGTTG